CGGGGCGGCTGCAGATGTCCGCCGAGCTGGGCGAGCGGCAGTGTGGGACGTGAACAGGCAGCCGTGCTTGGGAAGGAAGGGGAGGAGGGTGCGTGTGCCTGAGCGTGTGCGCGGCTGGGCCTTTGGTTAAAGCAGTCCCAGCCTGATCTTTTTTTTTTTTAAACTTTATTCTGGAAGTAGTCCATCTGTTAGTTTGCAAAATCAGAATGTTGTCCCCTTTGCCACTTTTCGCGTTTGTTCTTTTTATTATTATTATTCCATATTTTTACCAACGGAGACAGCAAAACCAAACACAAAGCGGACAGATCAGATTTGCGCTGGACAAGCGTAAAGGGGAGGGGAGATGTTCTCGCCAGGGCTGCTACCCTCCCTCTGCACCCCCCGAAACTCTCCTGAGGATTTGGCTTTGTAGATACTGTGGTGCCTTTTTTTGGTATGCAAAATACCTTTATAACTGATGCTTCCAAAATGCATTGATTGCAAACCAAATTGAACCTGGGCTTTTCTTTGCAGTTCTTGTATTTTGTTTTGGTCATTTTTAACTGTTCTGTTGTAATCATCTCTTGCATTTTGGGACTATGTCTCTCTCTCTCTCTCTCTCTCTCTCTCTCTCTCTCTCTCTCTCTGTTTCTCTCTCTCTCTTTTTCTTTTTTAATTAATTTATTTGTGTCTCTCTCTCTCTCTCTGTGTCTCTCTCTATAAGTTGCTAATTTATGACATTCTAAAAAGGAAACCAACCATATATTGCTGTTAGCACCTGACTGCTTCAGAGAGAGGCTGTCTATGGGTCTAGGTTATAATAATAATAATGGTAATAATAATAAAAACAATAACTCTTCCTCTTTGCATGGCAAGGCTGCCCCTTTCTGCCATAAAGATTGTTCAGTCCCCTCCTTTACTCAAGCAACTGTTCAATGAATAAATACATAAATACTGAGTTTCCATGCAGTCTGAAAACTGCTCCCGCGACAAAAAGCAAAGGAACAAACGAAGTCGGCGGCACGATTGGCCCCGCCGCCTCGGGAGCGGGTCCCCCGCGTTCGAGTACAAGAAAAGGAATAAAAAAGTGCACTGGCTTATAAAGTGATTACAGGTGATGGCTTTCAGGAGTAACTTTTTTTTTTTTTTAATGAAATGTTTTAAAAAAAAAAAAGGCAAATGAATCATTTTTTAAAAAAAAACATGTTTTCTGTTCCTGTAAAGAAAGCCTGCACTCTGGTGTCAGAAGTAAAGTTGTCCCGAACGTGTCCTCGTGTGGCGTCATTGGTTGGCATGGTGTTAAGTGCGATGCGTCCCCATTCCTGTCCCTGCTCTGGCGCGTGGGGTGGGTGCGTGTCCCCATCCATCCCTGTCCCCATCTCCATCTCCGTCCCCATCCCCGTCGCCCCTGTGCGGGGCCATGGGGGCTGGTGCATCTCCCCATCCCTGTCCCCATCTCCATCCTCATCCCTGTCGCTGTCCCCACGTGCCAGCTGGTGCATGTCCCCGTCCCCATGCTGGTGTGTGGGGCTGGGGCATGTCCCATCCCCCCCTGTGCTGGCGCAGGGGGCTGATGCCTCTTCCCATCCCCGTTCCCCCGTGCCAGCGCGTGGGGCTGGTGCATGTCCCCATCCCCGTCCCCGTCTCCATCCCTGTCCCCAATTGTGCTTGATTGCATGGGGACGTTCATCCTAATAAACAAACTGGTTGGGCTAATTGCTTGGACCTTACCCTGGGTCGTCTAATCAAACGTGGTAGTTCATGGAGCCCGACGCTCGCTCTAGCACCGCACAAATACGCGCGTGCTCCCGGCTGACGGCCTCCGCGGCCGAACCGCGCTAAGGGGGCGCACGCGGTTGGTTCAATTTGACGCTGAAAACCTGATCCTACTTCTGCGGCGCTGATAGACGACTCAGGTTGCCGGGGGCTGAGACCCCGGAGCCCCGCAGACGCGCGCCGCCCGCCCGGCTTGGGCTGTTTTTGCCGCTTTTCCCCGGCTGCTGGCGCTGTGCCCCGCGCGGGGAGGGAGAGGGGCCGCTCTTGGCAGTAAAACAGCGGCTGCCGTGAACGGCTCACCCTCTTCGGGAGGACAAATCTCACTTTGTGATAAAGGATTAAAACAAACTGCCCCTTGCC